AAAAGTACAAGAGCAGGCAGCAGTGTGCTTAGGAACTGCCCTCTCCCATGCTGTTCTCTGTGATTGATGCAGAGCCCTCACTCGTCCTCTCATGACAATTTGACTCCAGCCCTGCACAGGCCACCATGCAGGCCCGATCCTTGAGGAAAACTGCCTACCTTTCCCTGGTCACTATGGCAGTGCAGGAAATGCGTGGCAGCCACTCTAGCACCACCTGCCATTAAAGGAGCAGCTGCTGCTCAGGCCCAGGCCTTTGGTAGCCTGACTTCTGACAGCTGACCTTTGTTTCTCCAGAAGCCCCCACTTCCAAGAAGCCCTCCCTGATTGCCTCACAAAGACCACTAGTGCCACACTTCCCTGCTCTCTTTCTTCTGTAACTTCTCTGCCTTGGCAGACACTGAAGCACATACTAAGACACAAACAGTCAAAAGTCAGAGGCCCAGACAAGTGTTTAAGGCTTCTGAACCTGTTTTCTCACCAAGAAATGGTGGTGTCACCACTTCCGCACAGTGTGGTCAGCAAGCTCACAAGTTAATTCTAAAATCTATGTGGCATCTGAGCCACAGGCTTACCACGTATACTTTACAGGCGCCAAGGCAAGTTACCTTAGGATTTGTGTGGGGCTATAAGGACCTTGTGGATAGATGGGTGGCCTTGAGGTATATTAACACTCTAAATGTGTCAAGTGTGTTCTGCTAGTGATCAAATCCACTGGACCTAATAAATATTTGTTGCTATAGTCTGAATGTGCATGACCCTTCAAATTTACAGGTTGTAATCTCAATTCCCAAAGTGCAATATTAGGAGATAGGGGTTTGAGAGATGATCAGATCTTGTGGGAAGAAGAGCCTTGGCGAAAGGGATTCATGCCCTTAGCGATGCAGTGAAGGGAAGCCCCTAGGGCACTGCGACCTCACATGTGGAGAAGAGAAGACAGTGTTTCAAGCAGGAAGGGGCCCTCAGCTGACATCAGGTCTGGCAGCACTTTGCTCTCAGAATTTCACCCTCCAGCACCAAAAACTAAACCCCTTGTTCTTTCCCAGTCCCTGGCCTACAGTTTTCTGTTGTAGCAGCTTGAGCAGACGGAGACTCAGAGCCCTAATACACCCTGTAACAGGAACAATTCAGCCTCCGCAACAAGATGCAAAAGGAGGCTTCACAGGGAATCCTCTTGGTGCTTCACCATAACTGCCCTCCCCCTCTGACTGAGTCAGTCAGGTCAAAGGCATTAGGACTCCATCAGAAAGGGACGGGGAGCCGGCTGAGCACAGGCTCGCTGGGCACAGGCTCGAGCCATCTGGCAGTGGAGAGGATGGTGCTCTGTAGGGAAGGGAGTCTTGGGGTACCAGTCCAAGTCTAAAAGGCTCCACAGCCAAAGTAGAACTGTGTGGACAAAAACAAACCCCCAGATGGACAGAGTTCTGAGGACATCATCAGAAAATCCACATTAAAATTTTTTTAAACTATTTTCCAAAACCATATTGTAACCAGGCAGAAACCAGTCTCCATTTACTTGGCTTCTGGACTCTCCCACAGACCCCACAAAACTGAATCAAAAACCTATCTGAACTCAACAACCACAAACCGACATCACCCACAGGAGCCTTATCAGCACACAGCCTCCCTGCTGCGGGATGGCACAAACAGTCTAGCCATACCACCCTGTAACCGCCACTGAGAAGCAACCACAGCCCTGCACCACGATCTTCTCCGATCTCTTGAATCACTGGTAATGCAGCTCCTGGCTATTCCATTCAAAAAGACATTCTAATTTTATTTGATTACTTTTAAACATCAACTCATTCTGCTGTGTGAAAAGCTGCCAATATTTTTCACACACTGTTAAAAAGTACAAAAAGTGACACTCAAGCCAGGCATGGTGGTGCATGCCTGTAATTCCAGCACTCAGGAGGTTGAGGCCAGAGGGTCATTACAAGTTCGAGACCAGCCTGGGCTACAAAGTAAGCTCGAGGACAGGCTGAACTGCATGAGACCCTGTCTCCAAAAGACCAAAAAAAAAAAAAAGGCTTAAAAAAGTGACGCTCAAACCTTGCAAAGATACTTACATCTCCCACATATGTGCCCATCTACTATCTACTTGGAAAGTGTCTCAGGAGGAAGGGCACTCCATGTCCCTCTGGGCAAAAGCACCACATCTTTAAGTGTGGGCCACCGTGACAATGGTGAGCAATGCAGCCCTGCATCTCAGTGTCATGGTGCCATACCACACAAGAGGCTGCGGCGCCTCGGGCAGTGCCTGACCGGACTGGCTGCATCTCTCCAAGGGCTACCGAAACCTATACCCAAACACTGTCAGGAAAGCTCATAGCCCATGTCTGCTTTTTCCTAGTGCCCTTCTCCACACACATACGTATTTCATTTCCAGTAATGGAAACTGAACCCAGAGCCTTGTCACTGAGCCACATCCCTAGCCGTTTAGAGACAGAGTTTCACTGAGTCACAAAGTTACCTGGGCTGGGCTCAACTCTGTAATTCTCCTGCCTCAGCCGCCCTCAGCTTTGGAATTACAGGAATGCACCAACATGTTCGGTTCTTAGTTTCCTTTAAAACATAACTCAAGCTAAGAGTGGTAGCACACACTTGTAATCCCCGCACTGGGAAGATTAAGGCAAGAAGATTGAAGTTCAAGGAGTGGGTAACTTAGCAAACTGTCTCAAACAAAGAAACAACAATTCAAAGTCTAACAATATATTGACAGAATTGCTGATGCTGGTAATGAGTGAGGAATGTGACACTATCATACCAAGTTCACTACTTTTAGGCATCTGAAACTGTCCCTAATAAAAAGTGTAAGAACAATGCTGTGTTCAGCTCAGGTGCTACCTGTCCAGCCCTAGGGCACTGGCCTCTGGAAGCTCCATTCCTGCCTTATCACAGTGCCCAGATGCCTGGCACTGATTAGCCACCAGTGAGCATCTCCAGAGTAGACCACACCACAAGGGGCCCAGTTCTTCCCCAGCTCACAGCCTGTCCTGACGATGGTCACAGACCTGGAAAGGTCAAACTTGCTGCCTGGAAGACCCAACTTCAGAATTAAAGCAGAGGGCTGTTGTGGAAGCACAGCAGAGCCACCTAGAGAGCCAGCCCAGCTGGGGTACAGTCCCCCACTCCTGTGCCAATTTCTGGGTCCTACCTCCCATGCTTCAGGACCTGGAGCAGCATGGGCATGGCAGGCCTGGTGCAGAACCTAACAGGGATAACAGAGGCCTTAAGGTAGAATGAAGGAAGGAAGGATGAGGAGCACTTCCGTGCCTCTCTGGGCAGAATATAAGCCAAATTTTAAAGTATGAACCAGTATTAGAATTGTGAGCATTGCGGTCAGCACCCCAAGTATGTCAGACCACTCACCTTGTGGCTTTGGGCCAGGAAACATTGCAGGTTCTGTCAGAGAGGGGCCAAGTTTCATCACTAGTCTTCAAGAGGCTATTTAGAACCAGGGAAGCTTAGGCTCCAAGCAGTGGGCAGCTTCTGGGCCAAGGTCCCAAGCTCAGGGCTGGCCCAGACAGCACCATACACTATGCACTTTCCCATGACAAGACTGGGCTCTACCAGCTTTCCACTGAAGAATAAGAGGTACAGGGTTCCTTGCCATCCATGTAACAATAATACTAATACTAAAACGCTTTAAACATCTAATCTAACCTGAGTGAGATATGATTTAACAGTGCTCAGCTTCCCTCCAGTTTGTCTAGGGAAGACACCTGTCCCACCAGGGTGCCCATTCCAGGCCAGTGACCAAGACCACTGCTACCTCTATGCTCTTTTCTCTTCCTCCAATCAGAGCTGCCTTCCAAATGGGCCACTGAACAGAGACAGAGCAGCCCTGTCACATCCCATGATCTGGCTATATCCAGCAGAGGGCCTGCTGGGGTAGGTCTTCCTACTGCCAAGTTTTTGATGCAAATGTTTCACATAAGCGATATGAAGGCATTACTAACACTTATTCTAATAGTCCTGTAGCAAGCCTGGCTAGATTTGCATACTGGAGTAAAGCCCCAGGTAAGAATGGGAATTTCTAGAAACCACCAAATCCAGAGCATTTCTCAGTGTCCCAGGCAGGAATGGTGGTGCATGCCTGTAATCTGAGCTACTGAGAAGGATGAAACAGGAGAATTACTGCTGGAGGACACATTTGTTTCCCAAGATGTATGTCTGCATTCTCAATGAAGCATTATCCTTCAGAGGGTTCTTATTTGCCAGCCCTGAAGAGGAGAAGACAGGTAGAACTTCAGGCTGAGCTATGTGGCCATGCTCCAGAGCAATCCACTCTCTTGACCAGAGCTGAAGAAGGCCAGACTCCTAGGTCCTTGGAACCTCCCCTTAGGTCCCATGACTATGGCGCAATGCCAAGTTCCACAGCTACATCCCCAGCATGCTGTGTTTCTGAGTGTGAAGGTAATTTTGGGTTACTGTTTAATTACTAAATGCATGTAACACCCAATTTCTATTAGCTTTCAGGCTAAAAATAGTAAATGCTTATGCTTTGGCAGCATCTCCAGATGTGGGCAAGTTACTAGGGACACCAACGTTGATGCTGCCCACACCAACCCCCTCCTGGGTTCTCAGGGAAGGGTCTATCTTTCTAGCACCCCTCCCCCTAGCCAGGCGCCTCTTCAACTCTCTATTGCAGCCCCTAGGCGGCCCCAACCCCAGGGACAAGCAGACAAGCCCAGGATTTGTGAGGGAAGATAGGACACTGCTGGGTAAGAGCTGCCAGGAAGCCAACGGCCTAGCCGCATCACTTTTTTTGTTTATAACACATCTTCTGATAAATTAAAATTTAACTCAAGGCATAATTCCACAGGTTCACATTGTAACTCAACCAAATATAAATGCACTGCCACCAACCAAACGGTGCACATTCACAAAATTTATCACCTTTTGCCTTTTATCACCGCATGTTTAGAAAACATACAGTTATTTACTAAAGTGTAAGAGCAGCTCTAGTATCACTGTTTGACAAACCAGGGTGGGCTTACCTCCAACCAAGCACAGCGATACGGTATCAAGAGTACACATCCAGCATCTAAAGGCACAGGGTGCAACCTGACAGCAGTCCAAGGGGTTCCCGGGCACAGGGAGCTTCAGGGAAGCTCAGCTTCCCTTACACCGTTTCCTAAAACTGCACAGCCTGAGAAGCTGCCCTGCGGAAATCTCGGTGCCCTGGTGGCCCCACCTCCACCCAAAGTCACCTTCACACTCTCTTCCTAGACAAGGAAATGCTCCTTCCACAGAGTGTGCCCAGCGGCACATACCAGGTACAGGTCAGCAATTCCTTCACATGAGGCACCTTAATCAGACCTCCATCCAGGGTTCTGAGGCACCATTCCAGTGTGTTTTTACTTTATGCATTTAGTAAGTAATTAAGATCAAAGATACACTTATGGTTCTGTGATCAATTGTGTACTGATAGTAATAGTGACATGCGTTTTTCCAGATTCAGTTAACAGTCAATTTATATATACTTTTGTCATCAAATAAGTATGAAAAACAACCAATAAAACGATTCTCAAGCATAAAAGCTCATTACATTAACATAAAAGTCTACAAGGGAAAGTGGAACACAGAAGTCCAGTTTTACACTAAGTTTTACACTGTTTATGAACATACTTTTTAAAAGGGTTACTGATAGTAACAAATTAGAGTATTTTGTATTTAAAAAGCAACATAAGGGTAACTTTTAAGTGCATACAATAAAAATTGCATCTTTTATAGCTATTTAAATTATGATCATAAATATTTAGACATGCTTATAGTTTTAAATATGGCCATAGTTTTTCAAAGTTTGGGGTTCTGCCTGATTTAGCTCAGCGGCACAAGCGCAGGCCTGGCAAGCACCAGGTTGCGAGTTTGATCCTTGGTACCAAAACAAACCAACAAACAAAAACTCAAAACTTTGGGGTTTTTTTTGTTGCTTTTATTCTTGTTTGGCAGTACTGATGGGCTGAACCCAGAGGCACTCTACCTCTGAGCTATTTGTCCAGCTCTTTTTGAGAGTAGTCTTGCTAAACTGCCCAGGGTGGTCTCTAACCTGAGATCTTCCCACCCCAGTCTCCCAAATGCTGGGATAACAGGTGTGTGACACCAAGCTCAGCTTCTCAAAGTTATTTTATGGAACATGTGAGCCAGATGCTAAACAGCCTCTGCTTCATTGTAATATAAAACATTCCTAATTTAACCCAGTACCACAGATAAAACAGCTGCCTTCTACTGGTACCCAGCTGGTTCTTCCCCTTTTGTCCAACATACTTTGGAAAGTGACCTCATCTCCAGTGCAAATGTCAGAACCACTCCCTTCAAAAAAAAGAAAAAAAGAAAAACAAAACAAACAAAACCAACAGTGGGCTCACTGGCACATGCTGGTGACCTTGAGTTCCATTCTCAGCAGCAACGATGACAACAAAACCAACCAACATAATAAAGTGAGGAAAAAACATTCCCTTCCCACTTAAAACCAAAAATTATACTCCTTTAGATTAATATATTGTCCTAAAATGACTAACTGTTGGTGATGCGCTCATTTATTGTTTAGTGGCTTATGTCTGAGAGATACTTCAAATTGCATAGAAAGTTTGTGTGTAAAAGTAGTGACCACAACATCATAGTGTATACTTTTTTAAACATGTTTTAAGGGTCTGCTATGCACTTTTTACTCACAATTTCCTCTTCTCTATAATGAGAAAAATGTGAGTATTAACCAATCCAGTGGCTCAAGGACTCAGGTGCAGAACCTTCAAAATTCAAACTAAGCTAGGCAGCAGAATCCCAGCATGGAAGGTACTTAGTAAATTAAGCACACTTGGGCCTGGGTTCAGGAATGCAGTTTCCTCTTGCTGCCAGCAAAATCCCTCAACAGGTTTAGGAGGATGAAAACACCAGGACCTGGGCTTGAACAATGCCTTTCCAACCTGGGCTGCTGGCCAAGCAGAGGTGGGAGGGGAAGGTGGCAGCATCCAGTGACTCCAGCAGGTTATGCAAACTGCCTGGGTTGCAGGGGATCTACCACAGGACCCCTTAGTTGGACAGGCTGGTACCCTGATTCCTAGCACAAAGGGCACCTTCCTTGGTTTCCGCCACACTCATGGAGGGACATGTGTTTTGAGCCTTCACTAAACAGGAAGATAGGCCTGGTGACAACATTTACTATAGCTGCACCCTTTCCCAGGAGAAACCCTTCTTTCTCACCCAAGGACCCAAAGAAAGTCACATAGCAGTAAGCCAAACAATTCGGACACAATTCGGTTCCTACAACCTCTCTCAAAAACCTGGCAGTGCGCTTATCTCAAGCCGATTGCACTCAACAAGAATCCACACTGCCTGTGGGCCTTAACATTCGTACCCTACAAGCCTGAACAGTACTGGACCATCCACTGCTCTCATGGGACAGTTAGGTAGGGAAGACAAGCTGACGGGGAAAATTGTTGCTGATAGGAAAACAGTGAGCAGGCTACACTGCTGCCCCTAAATCAGTGCAGATTTTAATCTTCTTAAAACACCTCTTTCACAGGTCACTTGCTAAAGAAGCCACTTCATAAGCACTATTAGGCCTTCACTAAATATTTCTCACATCACCTCCACTCAAATGGCCAGGGGCTGGAGGTGTTTCTGGCACAGCCTGGTCTTGTTTCTCTTCTGACTCAGGGCACAGACTCCTCCTTTCCACCAGCCTGGAGAAGGCCCTGCGATTCTCTGAAAGTGTGCCCACTTCAACAGAGGCTAAGAATTAGATTCTGAAATTCTGAAAGTTCCATGTTTAAAAAGATCCTTGTTCATTGATTTTGGTGGGGCAGTTACACTAATCTAAACAAGGGAACCTTGTCTCGGAGGAGTGGGGGAGGTGCAGCAACTCTGGCCCTCTGCTTACAGGGTCCTCCCCACCAAGGCTGCTCTTTATCCATGAGGCTCCTTCCTGCTTTGGAATTTTCACTCTACTAAAATGCTCTTTCAACTAAAATGCTCTTGTAATTCTTGGCTTGGAGTCACAGCAGTCCTTCTCACGGTGTTTCACTGAGCACATCTTCATCAACATAATTTACATTGTAATTTAAAAAAAAAAATCTATGAACCAGAGGAGGCAAGCTCAGAGCAGTGCCCTCTTCAACCCTTACAACACAGCTTCCTGATACAGCCTGACTAAACAAATTACAGACACATTCTGCCAGGGGTGTTTCCAAAGAGGGCACCAGCAACTTGGTAGGACAGTTGTCACCTACACCACTCACCAGTCACCCTCACTGAGTACCAGTCCCTGAATCTGAAACAAACCATCCTGCTGGTGACCCAAAACTGGACATCAAGGCCTTTGGGACAAGTTAAAGAGGGCACCAGCAGACAGATGCCTCTCTGTTGGAAAATGACAATAACAGCAGCAGCTTAAACTCCCAACACTGCCCCTCAGCCTCCCCAACAGCCTTTCTGATGACAAGGATGAAATCAATTCAATAACAAGCAACCTAACATCAGCTCAGATACCTCCCCAAGCTCCTCTCCTCCATTCGAGATGGGGGAGCTGCGGCCGCAGCAGCCCTTTCCTCCCCTGCAGATCGTCAGGGCCAGTGGGGGCGGGATCTCCCTGCTCCCAGAAAGGGGTAGAAGCCAACAGAGCAGCTCTCTCCACCCCTCCCCCACTCTAACCTCACCAATTTACAAAGTTATAGGGTGTTAAAAGCTTGCGAGTTCCCCTGGAGATCACTCAGCCTAATCTCTGATCTCTTTCTTTGATTCGACAAGGGCCAAAGCTGCAGCACACAACATCTCAACATCAGCTGGGAAGAGAGCAAATGACTCCCTGCAGGCCCAGGGAGCTGGCCTTGGGCAGCCTCCCCCACCCTCCCCCACACAGACACCCAAGGACCACCCCTGCATACCTAATATGCATTTCAAACCATCAAATCTTTCCATTTCAGCTGCAGCCACAAAAACAACTAGCCTGAATACGACTGCAACCCCTAATTTTAAGACAATCTACTTCCTCAACATCTACTTCCTCGACCTCTCCCCAGAAGTACTGAATTTCTTTACTTATGCCTTTTTCTATCTGGAGCCCACAGAACTTTAGGTCACAATCGCTGCCCCTCCCCACTCTGCAACAGCTTCTGCAAAGTCTCTTCTTGCTATTCAATATATAATTCAGATCTAACAGGAAAGTGAGGAAATCAGCAGTTTTTTTCAGGTGAGTGGATAATCCTGGTTCCAGGTCCAACCATCTGTTACAATTCTTAACCAGTAGATCAATCTTACTTTTTCCTACTACAAGAACAAAACAACAGAGAGCACCAGCCTTTTCTTACTTTTTCCTACCACAAGAACAAAATAACAGAGGACAAGATTCTTACCACACCACCTGTTGGGTGCAAGACAGGTTAGAGGAGACAGCTGCAGGTAAAAAAAAAAAAGTGCAGAGCACACTCACAACACAACTGGGGAGGTCCGGTGCAGTTTCTCCCAGCCCTCTGAATCTCCAGGCCATGGCAATCACTAGCTTGACGCCACAACTGTTTCAATCAGTAAGCTTGTAAACCGTCCTGACTTCCCACGCCATGGACCAGAAAAGACCGCTCCAGGAGCTGCAAAGTCTTTTCTGCCGGAGTACCAGATTGAGGGGGATGTCTCACTGTTATCCTGAATCCACACTCCATCAGTGGCCCCATCAGAAAAATAACCATAGGAGACCAAGTGTACTCTCCCATCTTTCGCAGATCCCACCCTGTAGAATTTCCGGGGACTAGAAAGCAGGCGGTGACCTCCCTCATCAGAGCACCCCCGAAAAGCTCTCGCTGGGGTTTGTTCCCTGGAAGCCCATCAAATGAAGCACGCTCTGGTAAGGAAAGGGTTAAGCTCAAGGGTGCGAGGCCAAAAGGTGGCAGCAAAAGGTATCACTGTGCTGAGTTCCAGAGATGTGCCCAGACTTCTCCAAAACACAGGCTCTGGACCAGGAGCACTGATGTACTGGCCTCTTTCTCCAGAGACAAGGTCAGCCTCAGGAAACAAGAGATCTCCAAAAGAGCAGGGACAGTCGCCAGCCCAGCGGGGCAGGCTCGGTCGGAGTAGAAGTGAGGCACTACCAGAGTTTGTGTGCTGGTGGAAGGGAGAGGAGCGGGGGCATTTCGTGAGTAGTGGGCAGTTTGATCGCTCAGAAGTTTGAGATGGCAGGAGGGGCACTGGCTGGGGTTGAGATGTAAAGCAGGGTCTGACTCCTCTCCAGGAACCTGACCAAAGCTGGCGTAGAGAGGGATGCTGATGGAGAGGCCGGAGGCCGGTCCAAAAGAAGGCGCGCACTCCGGGAGGGGGCTTGGGATGCTCGAGGAGGCTTCTGGGATGAGGACGAGGTCCGGCAGATGCAGTCGGGAAGGGAAGGGGCCAAGAAGTGGGGGCGGGGCACCATGGGGGCCAGCGCCCCGCTGGGCGGAGTAGCGCGGAGAATGTCCTCTCCGGAGGAAAGGACCCAGGGCTGGGGTTGCGGGCGGGTCACGAGTTCGAGGCGCAGGCCGCGCGGAAGCGGCCGGTGCCAGCGTCAGGTGCCGGGGATAGGGGGCCGGGCGCGCCCGCTCACCTGTCTCCTCCGGCCGGGGCCGCGGTGCGGAGGGGCGGCGGGCCGGCCGGGAGGGCTGGCAAGCGGTGCGGGGGCGCGGGCCCCGGGCGCACCGGGGTGGCGGCTGCGAGGCGGCTGGCGGCGGCTGCGCTCTCGGCGGCCGGCCAGGCAGTCCGTCAGTCAGCTATACGGACGCGGAGCGAGCGCTGCGAGGCTGCGGCCGGCGCGCGGGGACAACGCCGCTTTATCAGGTCGGAAACAGCCGCTTCACGCCGCTTCCGCTGACGCAGCGCCGGCCTGCGCCTCATGACTATGCAGCGGTCTCGGGGGCGGGGCCTGCGCCTTACGCGCTCATTGGCTTCGACCGCCACCCGCCCGAACGGCCACACCCCCTCTCCAAACGGCCCCGCCCCCAGGAGCCCCGCCCCTGGTCTGCCCCGCCTCCAGTGCGACCCCTCACCCCCACCCCACTTTCCCGCTTGCTGTGAGCCACCCGCACCCGCCCCTCACTGGCCCAGAACACATTCAGGTACCTCTTGGTGGTCGCGGGAAGATGATCCGTGCGCCCCTAGCCTGTTACCTACACTGCTTCCGCCAACGCATCACCACCCCTCCTAACTCCTGGGCAAACAAGTGCCTCACTCTGCCTCAGCCCAAACAGCCACCCTAAACCCAAAGGGCTGCTTGGTGGGTCCCGCCCCCAGGGCTGCACCCTCCTTTGCAGCAAACCTGCTCCTACTTACTTCCTCTTGCTCCCCACCCCACTGGGCAAGCCTCCTGGCATTACCCTCTCTCCACTCCTCATTCTGCCCTCCACAATCCCCCACTTCATCCAGCGCAGTCCTGGAGAACTGGGCAACACTCAAAGCTAGAGCACCTGGAGACCCTCTTCAGCACTGATCCATGGCCCAGGTATCCTGCAGGAGGCCCCCATCAGGTGTCTTCTCACCTGCAGAATGGCCAGAACCCCAAGAGGGGACACCTCGAAAACCTATCACCATGAGATCAGGGAAGACAGATAGATAAAGACGAATAGATAAAGAGATGAAGAGAGGGGTCAAGCTCAGAGTAGGTAAGGACCTGCTCACATTCCAGCCTTAAGCCAGCACTGGGGTTTAAGAGTCTTTGTACACATTTCTACACCTTTCAGAGTCTTGGCATCTTGATCTGTAGAAACCATAAGATCCATTTCAAGGGGTTTAGAGGGAATTTAGAAATAGAATGACTTATGAGGCTTCCAGAACAGCTAAAATAGGAAAATCTGACAATACCAAATGTTGACAGGGAAGTGGAGCAACTGGAACTACACAGGGCCAATGGGAACTTGAGGGATACAGCTGTCTTGGAAATCTTTTACTCCCAGAGACAAAGCTGACTTTGTATTTCTATTCATGGCAGCATTGCTTGTAGTACCCCAAACTGGAAACTACCCAAATAATCATTAGCCATTGAAAGAATATACAAAATATGATAGATTCAGGCAGTGGAATCATGGCAATAGCAGTCTTTTACAACTATGCCTAACATGGGTGACTTACAAATGATGTTGAGAAGAAAAAAAAGCCAGGCACTAAAAGCTCTTAAGTTCCCATGTACATAAAAGTAGAAGGTATTGTTTAGCTGGTATTGGGAGTCAAGACAGTGGTTAACCTCAAAGAAGGGGGTGGGGGTGCTAGAACCAGGAAGTTGGGGCAGAGGGTGTATCTGGGAGCTGGCGGTACTGTTTCCTGGTCTGAGTGCTGTGGCACAGTGTACTTATTTTGTGACAAGTTCTTCAATTCTGTAGTCGAGATGTGTGTGCCGGTAAGTTATGGTGGCACACACCTGTGACCCTAGTACTCTGGGAAGCTGAGGTAAGAGGATTACAAGCTCAAGCCCAGACCAGGCAACATAATGAATTAGCTAGATCCTGTCTCAAAATGAAAAATAAAAAAGCCCTGGGGTTGTAGCTCAGTGTGAAGATTCGGGTTCAGCCCCAGTACCATATATAAAGAAAAGAAATCTATGTTCTTCCCTGTATACACAGCACCCAGATGAAGGGCTGGGACACCAGTGGTGTATGTACAGAGCTCAGAGCGGTACCTGACAGTTGAGAAAGCTCATCACTGAGTATCTGCCTCTCCTGTGTTTTTTTAACTCTATGGCCAAATGATAGAAGAAGTTCCATCCGTACAGCTTGTCACTTCTGTGACGCGGGCACCTTCCCGAGCCTCTCTGAGTCCTCATCTGGAAGGAAGTCTTCTAATAATATCAATTTACAGTTGTCACCATGATTAGATAAAAGATTAATAACATATGCTTTTTTAAAAGAGTACGGGAAGGAGCACCAAGGAAGATATAGGAACTGTTTTAATTATTTATGAGCTGCTGGTATTTATTGAATCCTTTCCATTTTCATTCATCAGCAAGCAATAAGTGTCAGTGTACCTACCACATCCATCTGCTGTGCTGGACTCTGACATTAGAGCTGGGGGACATCTGTCTCTCTCCAAGGAGGCCATGGTGGAGCAGAAGACACATGTGGACAAGAGAATGTGCTGCGAGCCCAGTGCAGGATCAGACTCAAAAGACTCCATAAACCTTCCTAACGAATACATGAACATAATGGCTGGGACGACATGGTATATGAGCACTCATAAATACATGACTGTATGTAAGTATAAATCATCTTACAAATGGAATTTGGGAAATAGTTTTTAAAATGTGGAAACATCCAATTTGTTTATTCTGTGACCTGCAGTTAGGCATGAGATCAGACGGGGTAAGGTTAAGGAAAAGCAAGTCCTGGCTGTGCAAGGGTCAGTACTGCCTCTTCCTCAGTGCCTGTACAAGCGTGTCTAAGTGTGCATTCAAGAGGACCCAGGCAGGGCCACCCTGCCGGCACTTTGCCCCAACTGGCCAGCCAGGACCTCATCTCAACTGCAGCTGCCTAGATGGTGTGGCCTGTGACTGCACAGTCCTATTGCTCATGGCAGCCAGGGAGTGAGGACCTCAGAACCCCCATGGGACTTCTTCCACTCATGAGAACATGGCTCAGGTGCTGAGCAGCCCTCTATTCTGGGTCAGAAAGCTCTGGATCTGGCTTGGGTCCAGAGCAGGTTGCACGCAGGCCCTTACCACCCTGGGGACAGCTGTAATTGGTCCAGGTTCTGTCTTCAGATGAGTTCTATGCTTGACTTATCATTCTGCTATCATAAGAGGAAGGTGGCTCCAGGGGTAAGGGATGGGGGCTCGTAAAAGGTACAAGTGTCTAGGAAGCCTCTGGGGCCAGATATTCCACATTCCTGGAAGGCCTGGTGGGTCTTCCTCCTCTCTCCCCCCTATTCTGTCACATCAGGTGGCTGTCTGTGTCACCCCTCTAAAACCTACCTCTGGATTTTTTCATGTAGCATATTTTCTTCTAGGAGTGTTCTGCTGTGGAAATGTCTGGACTTCCCAGTTACTGGAGAGGGAAGTGTGTTGAGGCCCCACGTAAACCAGGATGGCCCAGATTTTACCGTGATGAGCAGCAGTGCACCTGATCATTAACTGAAGTCCCTTCCATACTTTGCCAGATCCCATTAGAGAATGGAGGTGAGAAGTTCTCTCCAGACAGGCAGCCCTGAACAGAGAGGAAAGAGAAGGCAGTGTACAGTCCCTTCCTCTTCTGCTGATTTACAAGGCTTTTTTGTTTTTTAAGCAACAAGCATTTAAAAAAAAAAAAACTTTTTTGCAAAACCTCTTATGTCAATCAGCATGTCTACTTATTGCCTGGATTTCTGAGCAGTGATTTAGCCAAGCCTTTTCCTGAATCTCTGGGTTAATGTTCCAGCTATGTCTACCATGCACTCCCAGGACCCCCTCCATGTTCCTGTCCCTCAGCCTCTAGGAACTGTGCTTAAGCATGGCAGGGAAATCGGAGACCCCAGGACTCTGGCCCTTAAGCACCTAGTTGCTATGAGAGGCCTTCAAAATGGAGGGGTTGAGCACTCCCCCAGAGAGTGGGGCCACACCCTGCAGTCCAGATCTCTAGAAAGCCAATCCTGCTGCTGTCCACAATGGGACCTGAGACCCTGCAGGGTCCATGTCTGCCTCAATATCCTGGGCATAAATTCTATCAGGATTCGGGGTGTTTAAATTGTCTCCAGAGCCAAAAACTTCCTGGGGTCACAAAGCTTCTAGGTCAGATGGCTTCTTAGGATCATAGAGTCTCTCGATGTCATGTGGCCGCTTTGGGGAGTCATATAGCTTCCCATGATCATGGGGTTTCGGGGTCATATACTACGTGGAGTCATATAGTAGCCAAAAGTCATACAATTGCCAGGAATCACACACCTACTTGGTCACTACGTGTCCCAGAGTCATACAGCTTCCCAGATTATGTGGACACCTGGATCACGGCCCCTCATGTAGATACATCTCATTGGAAGTTCAGGCTCCTTCCAGGCCACTCCCTATGTCTGCATGCAGGATAAGCCCTAGCCCCCACACTTAAGCCTCAGTTTCCTGGTCTGTGACATAGGACGCTTCTGTTTCTACAGTGCAAGGCTGTGGCAAGGTGCGAAGGGCCTACCAAGGAGCTCCTCTACCGGGAGCTGCTCCACCAGGAGCTGCTCCATGCCAGGCAGGACCAGCCATCTGCGGAGGAGTGTGCCATCACAGGCTCCCCCAGGAGAAGACCTGAGGCACACAGTCTCTCTGGAAGACAAGAGAGATGGGGGAGGGGTTTGGGGCTGGGGACAAGTGTGTGTGGGAAGATGAGCTGCTGGCAAGTTCCAGATCTGGGATGGGAGCATGTTGGTAGCTGTACTATACCTTTCTTAATAATCATCTTATGTCCCACGAGTGAACATATATGACAAATAAATAAGAGGGATGCCCACCACATCTGGGCTTGAGCGGCCTCAGAGTCTGGCTTCTTTTCTGAGGGGAAGAAAGCCTTGAAGGGTCATCGAGGAGCCAGATAAGCCTGTGTGGGCATTTGGATATGGGTGAGCAATAGGAAGGAGGAGCCCAGGAAGGGCTACTTCCTTGTGCTTCTGAGTAGAAAAGACACCAGCTGGGGCCAAAGTATAGTTATTGACTGTGGTGCAATCTGAACACTGCACAAGGGTGCCACTGTAGGGTATAATCCCCAAAGACTACCTTTCCCCCCTTTTCCCCTATTCTTCTCACCCAGCCCTCCCAGCCTACTCAGCATTTTGGATAGAGGGTTTGCCTTTCCTTCCCTTTGTCTCAGGTATGAGCTCTTTAGGATGCTCCCCAGGGGACCGGATAGGTGGGATTTATGTCACAGGAAAGAAACTTAACTGGAGGTAGTAGAGCCTTAAATCCTTAATGCAGGCATGCTCACACATGCTGAACACACAGAGGCGGGTATGTCTGAGCATATACCGCGACAGAAAGTCTGACCTCAGTCCTGTCCTGGCCTGTGTCTGAAGTAACAGGCCTCCCCCTGTCGACTGCCCTGTGACCTGCAGGAGCCCAGGAGTGGACATCCTGTATCTTGGGAAGAGGGAATGCTGCTGACAAGGATCTCTTAAAAGATGTAATGGTTAATATATTTTGTCAGTTTGAGAAGTCTAGAAGTTTAACTCAGCATCTCTATATCCTAGGGTGCTCCAGGATGTTATTCATTGTGTCAATTTGAGAAGTTTAGAAGTTTAAGTGATTCAGCAGGGGACCCTGGTCCTTATTTTGTAAATATCCTAGCCTGTGCAAGAGGAGGGCATGGAGACGGTGTGGTACCCTTTCTGGGTAGCCTACATACAACACAAGGAAATAAGAAAGGACTGAGTGCTGGTGTTTCAGAGGAGCTCCAGTCAGCCTTCAGCTTGGACATTGTCTCCTGGCTTCTAGTGCAGACTGTTGCACTTCTACCTGGAACTCTTCTGCCTTTGTCATAGACTCTTCAGCTTTCCAGTGTACATTCTTGAGCATTCCATCAGACCCATTGGCTTCCTGATTCAGATTCGCACGCAACACTGCAGTGACTGAGATTACCCTGGATGCTAAGATCTGGCCCATTCATTCATTCATTCAGTGATGTGCATGGATTGAGTGCACACTCTGCTCTGGGCTGACCTAGAATCTGGGGATGCAGCAACAGCACAAACAGACTACCTGCTCTCCCTTTGGATCCTGCACCCCAGTGAGAGACACACAATGGATGGGGCAGTCACCATTGGTGCTCATTGGTGGGTGGTGGGCCTCTCCATGGAGGGGACTTTGAGAAGAGGACTGCTGCCCTCCCATTTCTTCACCCACTACATGCTTCTTCTGCAAGGAACACGTCGTCAGTGCTGAGTCCCAAGCAGGGAACAAAGACCTCAGCCTTCAAGTGGGGCAGCAGCAATACATGAACAACAAGAGACCAGCAGCTGTAAAGGCAGGGAGAAGAGGAAAGGAATGGAGTGTATGGGCCATCTAAGTAGAGAAGGGACACAGGGGACTCAGTGTTTTAAAAGGTCCCTCAGGCTGCAGCTGGAAAACACTCAGAGGGCAGAAGGCCCAAGGTGCTTCCAGACAATGCATGCGCCTAATGGCTGCTGCAGGGTGGGGGCAGTGGAGAAAACAGGTGGCTAGATTCTGGGTCATGCTGAGGCCTTGGGGCGGACTCACTGATGGACTGAGTATGGAGTTTGGTGTGAATGCCTATGTAAGTCTCACCAGCTCTTGGTTTACCCACCTGTGAAGTGGGGTGCTAGCCTAGCTACTTGGCTCTGGGGAGAACAAACTAGTAAAAGTATCAGGGGAGTCACCCCTTAATCATGCAATGTAGATATGGGGTCCCCTTCTGTGCTCTGGGCTGAGGGGGACATAGTGACTCACAAGTACATAACAAATGGCGACTTTTTTTTATTAAACGTAAAATGAGGTATGAATTTGGGCATGATAGCTGTGATGAGTTGGTAAACTGGTGGTCAACTTGTAATACCAGCTGAACTAAATCAGCATGGTGGTGAGTATGGGAGGTCCACCTGAGGATTGCTGCCAAGATAAAATCGAGAAGAGGTAGTGTTGTTGGTTCTCCGTGGTATTATTGGTTCTCCCGTTGCCATTGGTTCTCCCAGAGGAGCTTGTCGAGCTTTTTTCCTGATATGAACTTGGTTGTTATTATCATAGGAGCTCAGGACCTTGTTGCTGCTGAGGATAGCTACAGTTCACTTTGGGGGAGCTCTGGTCCTTTACTGCTTCCTGGGTCTGGAGGGGAAGATAGTGTGCTGTTTAGCTCGGGGAGAAACTTGTCACAATGGCTTCCTGATATGAACTCAGCTGTTCTTATCATCAGAGGAGCATGGGACCTCATTGTGGCTGAGAATGGCTGTGTTACTTTATGTAGGAGCTCTGGTCCTTATTTTGGGTGTTACTTCTTGACTCTGGTGCAGAACCCTCAACCTATGGCACAGATCCTTCATCCTGCTGGCACAGACTTTCTAACTTCCACCACTGACCTTGGGCCTTCCCAGTATGGATCTGTGAGGCAGATTTGCATGAGATATTTTTGTGGGCTCTAGGACTCCAGTTGTACTCTTGGAGTGGGGAGAGCATATTCTTGGGCTGTAGTGCTTTAGCTGGACTCATGTGGGATGTTACCATGGGATCCAGGCCCTCAGCTGGATTCTTTGGGTCTTAGTGTGTGGATAGATTTCCTGCACTCTTTCTTTTGTATTTGACTCTTTGGACTTTAGGTGATCATTATAAAATAACACTACAAATTTTATGTCCAATATTGTCTCATTCTCATTGCAAACCCTGACTACAGTAGTACACATGCCTATAATCCCAGCACTCCAGGAAACTGAAGTAAGAAGACCAAAAATTCAAGACCTATATTAGTGACTTAATGAGACCCTGTCTCAAAATAAAAAGTGAGTGCTCACTTCAGCAGCCCATATGCTAAAACTGGAAGGAAACAAGAGTAACATGGCCCCTGCACAAGGATGACACGCAAATTCGTGAAGCATTCCCTATTTTTTCAAAAAGCTAAAATAAATAAATAAATAAATAACAAAAAGGGTAGGGAATGTAGCTCAATATGAAGGCTTTGGGTTTAATCCCCAGTACTGAAAAAAAAAATTTAGAAGGTGAAAGAAGACAATGAGGAGCCTCAAAGTGGCATGGTCACAGTGATTGAATGGCCAAGTTGCTCCAGATCAGCTAGGATCAGCAGTGCCCAGCTAGGTGGCACCCTGCTGTTGTCTGACCTTGAGGCCAGAGAGCCCAAGAAAAGTTGCCAAAGCAACAGAAGTGCAGCTTCAGAGAGGGCAGACCTCATCCAGAGGCAGGGAGGCCAGGAAGCCAGTTTTCAATTGTGTAAATCCAAATCCAAGGAGCTCTGAGTATTTGGACCATATTCCCAGGGTCACTTCCTCCATAACATGTTGGAGCTAGGAGAGGCTAAGCATTGGTGGCCTTGCTCAGCTGGAAAGGGTGGAGGTTGCCAAGGCCTGTGGGTGGGACAGGGCTCAACTCTCTTTGGGAAGCCATGCCCCTGGCCCACGTTTGCTGTGAGCAGAGATGGGAGTTGGAGTGGGTCTGAAACAAGAGCCCTTTTCCAGGCTGTGCAGTATAGGAGAAGTCAGAGAACAAATGGGTCATGACTCATTGAATAGGGTCAGGCTTAGTCAGGGTTTACGTAAATAGGCTTAAGGTACCATTAGTGTCACAGATTATGTCCAACCAAGATTAAATTCCAAAATGTGAACAAGAACCAGAATTAGTCTGTGATAAAGGCAAGGTTCAAACAGTGTCACCCTGTAAGCAAGGCCAGGGCTCAGTGTGTGACTAGGATCAGGGCTAAGTGTGTAACTTGGGTCAGGACATGGCAAGCCTGTGTGGGACCAGGATGAGGGATCAATCTGTGACTAGCTGCAGGGCTCAGATTTGGCCTGCTTCCAAGCTGAATTTTGTGATCAAGGTTAGAGTTCAGCCTGTGACTGTGATCATGGTTTAGTGTGAGATCAGGATAGGGGCTCAGTCTATGACCAAGCGTGAGGGTTCAGTCTGTGGCTGAATAGGAACTCAGCATGAGGCAGATATGACAGTTACATCTCTAAGGTGGCCTCTGGGTGGACTGGCCTCTTTTCTCTGAACAGGTCAAACTCGTTCATCTTTCTCTTTGATTTGAGAATTCTCTGCTCTCTGTGAAATACTATCCTCAGTGCCACAGACTGAAGGCTACTTCTTTACAGCCCAATCCTAAACATCCTCCTATCTCTTGGCAGTTTGGCAAGGTCATTATGGTTGATCACAGAGAGACAATTTGGAGGTCATAGAGTGGTTCTACCTGGGGATTTGGGAAGCGCTCTGTGAGCTACCTTGAATGGTGGGCAGGAGGCCACCCAGGAAGCACTGCTGGAGCAAGGTCACAGAGGCTGGTCAGCCCAGAGCAAAGGTGTCTGGATACCAGTGTCAGGTGCTGGCAACATAGTACCTGAATAGGGCTCAGTTGCTTGGTGTCCAGCTAACCTCGTGGTCATGGAGGCCTTGCTTTCCCCAGCTTCAGGGTGGCCCCAGTCAGTTCCTTCCAGGTGAGGGTGATTGCCTTAGCACCTGGTGGGTACTCCCTGCCCTGGAGGCCGCCCACCTTGGGTGGGACACAAGGCAGCAGACAATGGGAAGGAATGAGAGTGCGTGAAGCCAACAGGGGTGGCTGGCAGGAAGAGGGTGGAGGCCGTGGGGGATGGGTGGAGGCCAGTGCTACAAAGCATGTGAGGGTAGGGAGTGCCTGGAAGGGAACAGACCAACAAGGGGTATGTGGAGCACTGTGTGGGGCTGGGTTCCTGGCTGGTACTGCCCTCAAGTCCCTGATTGAAGGCTTCTGCCATTATCCTCTGTGAGGGTTGCAGGCTCAGGGACTACACAAGTAGGGACCAAGGAGGATGAAGTTGGTCTGCTGGCCTGGACCTCCCAGCTTCCCCAGCCCTTGGCCCTGGTTTCCAGCCTGCCCTTGCCAGGACTATCTTCACAGAGCTTCCAGAATCATCTGTCCCAAACACAGTGCACCAGGAAGGGACCTATGTGTCCCTCTATGCACCCTTCTGGACTTTTTCTGGCTTCCCAAGAGTGTTTAGAACCATCAAGAATGGAGCCTGGTAGAGCCCAGCATGGTGGAACATGTTAGTAATACCAGCTACTTAGGCCAAGGAAGGAAGATGACAAATTTGAGACCTGGATAACTTAGCAAGAAGCTGTCTAAAAAGGATAGTAATGTGACTTAGTGATAGAGTGTGTACCTTGAATATGTGAGGCCCTGGATTCAGTCCCCAGTTTGGAGAAGAAAGGAGAGAGAAAGGCAGGGGAGGGGAGAGAAGTAAAGAGAGGGACTTGTGCTGTACAAAGGGCCTGACATGAGAACACTGCACCTAGACTCAGAGTGACTGTGTCTTCAGGGACTGATGAGTCTCATCCAGTACCCTCCCAGACTCAGGAGGGCTCCTTCCCTGCTTGCATTTTTTTGGCTTCCTTGAATGATGTGGCTCTGCCACTTTCATAGACACATGTCACTGGAATCTGGATCATGCACTAGCTCACACTTTTTTAAGTGCGGGCCACATGCTAAACCCTTTTCATCTCATGCTTCTTTGTCCTTCGCTGCAACCTCATCGCCAGTTTTTAGCACTGACTGAGGCAGGACACTGGGCTACAGTGAAGAGAGGGCAGAGTACTGGCCCCTCTGTTCATTACCCCAGGCTGTCCTTAAGGCCAGGATTAAGCTCACCCACATCCTGCAGGGAATGGGGTGCAGGGACAGAGTAAGGCCCACCCAGTTCTTGCCTGACCTGCTGGGTTGGTTTGGCCCTGGTGTCACCCCACTCCTGGCAGCCTGCCAGCCACACCCTTCCTATCTGTTCTCTCTGAGCAGGGACTTTGCTGGAGTGGGTCGTGACTCTATTGTGAAGGGTACAGGCTCTTGGGGTGTCTTCTTAATCTCCAGAGAACAGTGAGTTCAAGGAGCTAAGCCTGACCTTCATGGCCTCTGGGTAAAAGCTGAGGCCTGCCAGCAAGGAAGGGAGTTCAGATGTGCAGTCAAGGCACAGGCAAGCATGCTTGAGGAGCCCTTGAGGAAATCAGGCAAGTCCCTTGTAGGCAGGGACTCAGTTTCCTTACTTGCAGCACTAGGCAGTGCAAAGCCTATATAGAAGCCTGAGAGGGCTCCTAGATTCTGCTCTGAGTGCTGACCTGTTCTCTGGAGCAGGAAGACTGGCCACACAGGTAGTGAGTTTAAACCCACCACTAGGCTGTACCTCACCCTGGCCCAGTACAGGATGGAACCAAAGGGCAAGAGGCACAGTCAGGTCCAGATGTTTGAGACTCTTTTTTTTTTTTTTGTCTTTTTCATTTTAATCGGTACCAGGGATCGAACTCACGACTGCCTGCTCGCAAGGCAGGCGCTTATGCCGCTGAGCTAAATCCCCAGCCCCATGTTTGAGACTCTTCTACCTTATATGAACTGTGACAACTCGCTTCCTCTCTGTATGCCTCAGTTTCCCATGTGTATGCCACATAGCGTTGGTACATAGTTAGTAGCATTGAATTCTCTGATACCAATGAGAGAGATCTGAAGCTCATGAAGTGATGGGTCCCCAGGGCCAAGATGGGAACTCATGAACCTCATAGATACACTCCCAAATGTGTACACCCCTGCAAGCAGACACTAGCAACTGTCACACACGATCACATCTGTATACCCATGGATGCTGCCCCAAGCCCCAGGCAGTTCTGAAAGCTGGCTCTTGGCTTTGTTCCTCCCTTCTTAGACTCTGGTTACCATTGCTCATGTCTTTCTGAGGGCATCAACCTTGGGTCCAGGGGTGTGACAGGAGCTGGTGGGGTACTGAGGCAAGGCTTCTCTTCACTACTGCCCCAGCTTGGGCTCCACATTATCTATTCACACACCCCAGGAGCTCCACAGAGTACCTGCTCCCAGGCTCCATTCCAGTCATCTGAGCACCCTGAGACTCTGGGAAACTTGTCCAACTCCAGAGCTAGTGGCAATGCTGAGGTCATGTGAATAAAATCTCTGCCGTCCTTCGAGGCCTTATTCATAGACTGGCCCTCAGGACTCTCCCAACAGTGAAGACAGGAACCCTGGCATGTATACCTTGGCTGGTACGTTTGCCTGAGTAAGCCTCAATTTCCTCACCCATAAATTGGGATGGCACCTGACCTATAGAAAGGATTGCTGAGGATGTTGGCATGAAATACCTTGACAAAAAGAAGCAGTGATAGATAGATACAGGAGGAGTAAGACGCAAAGTCTCCCTCCCCAAGTTCATAGCACCCAGGAGATCTGGAAGCTTCTCAGGCACATGAAGCTGAAGGGAAGCCTGAATTGTCTGCCTAGGTCACCCAGCATGCTGCCCTTGGTGATCATAGCTCGTGGTCAACTCTGAGCTCCTGGGAGCTGGCAAGGGTTTCCTGTCATCACACAGTAGGCCTCACAACCAACTTCAGGGGAGCAAAGGCCAAAACAGGAAGGCACACCCAGCCCTGACAAGAGCCCAGACACCCCTGGCAGGTGCTGCTGGGTGCCTTCCTGGGGATGCCCGACACTACCTGCCGCTCTGGCTCTGCCCCTTGTGGCATCTTATAGAACTGACATTGACTCCACTGACCCTCCAGTGCCCCAGGAGAGGGGCAAGGATAGGGCTCTACCATTTTGTGAATCAGGAAGCTGAGGCTTCAGGAGATGATGGTTGCATGGCATCTTGCCTTAGTTCACTTTAGTGGTTGGGTCTTGGCTACTACTAGAGTAACTTGTGTTGTCTGCCTCAGTTTCCTCATCTGTGAAGTGGGGCTGGGTTATTGAAAGACCAACCATGCCACAATACAGGAGCAAGGCCATACAGGGATTTTGCCAGCATTGTGGATACACAGGGCTCAGGGAGCTCTTCTGCCTGAGGGACCCTTGAGCCTGGCATGAGGGAGGGGCTGGGTCCTGTCAATGGAGGAGATGGAAAAGCATCCGGCAGA